TGTCTGTCTGTCTGTCTGTGTGTCTGTGTGTCTGTCTGTCTGTGTGTCTGTGTGTCTGTCTGTCTGTGTGTCTGTGTGTGTGTCTGTGTGTCTGTGTGTCTGTGTGTCTGTCTGTCTGTCTGTGTGTCTGTGTGTCTGTCTGTCTGTGTGTCTGTCTGTCTGTGTGTCTGTCTGTCTGTCTGTGTGTGTGTCTGTCTGTGTGTGTGTCTGTCTCTATCATCACAATAAAAAACTCTTCATCATATTTATGACATCATGATTTCAAATATACTGTAAACACAGGAGGAGATGATGATGAGGATGAAGAGGAGGAGGAGATGATGATGAGGATGAAGAGGAGGAGGAGATGATGATGAGGATGAAGAGGAGGACAGGATGAAGAGGAGAAGGAGGAGATCAGGATGAAGAAGAGCTGATGATGAAGAGGGGGATGAGATGAGGATGAGGATGAAGAGGAGGAGGTCAGTGGGTACTGAGGCCTCCTCCTCTTCTCTTCCTGTCACCGCAGCAGCGTCACCGTGTCTCCTCAGCAGGAACATTAACGGCTTTGTCCCGGTATTTTCTCCGCTCTCCTCCTTCACGCACACACACACACACACACACACACACACACACACACACACACACACGCACACACACATCGCCCCGCCGCCGCTCCGTCACAACCCGCCTTGTTTTCGGTATTTTACCGGATAAATCACGGAGGTGATGTGAAACCCGGACACTTACGATTGAACCCGGATCGGTTCCGCTTCTCCCGGTTCGGCCGTGGATGAGAACGTGAGTCGGTTCCTCCGCCGCTCCTCTGTCACCGGAGAGCAGCGGCAGCCTGTCGGTTAGCAACGCTCAGTCCTCTCTGCCGCGGGGCGGAGCGGCGGGAGCGGCACGGAGCGGCAGGTCGCCCTGTAGAGTGGATGGGCCGCTGCGGCACAGAGGCGGCACGCGGCAGCCCGTTCGGACTCTCTCCGGCCTGTGATTGGTTGAGCAGCTGCGCAGCCTGCTCGGTGCATCGAATCTGATTGGCTGACGGACTGAAGACCCGCAAACTCTGCCGCCAAATGTCGCGAGGTGTCGTGAAGCCTGAGAACATCCCGTATGATCCGTTTAACGGCCGGTTCTACCGGACACTGCTGACGTACCGATGTCTCTGACGTCACTGAACAATCACGGAGATTAAACTATCGATCTGATCAGTAAATGTTTACTGACGTCACAGACCTCTGATCAGTTCGGCTTCGATCCTGAAGAGACGCTGCAGTGAGAGGCCAGCAGGAGGCGCTGTGGGCCTCTTCCTCCTCCTCCTCCTCCTCCTCCTCCTCACAGCACGGAGGAACTGACACTCCAAAACACAGAAGGAGGAGTAGAAGATGAAGAAGGAGGAGAGGATGAAGGATGAGAGAAGGAGGAGGGGGAGGAGATGGAAGAGGAGACGAGGAAGAAAAGGGGGAGAAACAGGAGAGGATGAAGGATCATGATGAGGAGGAGGAAATGGTGAAAGGAAGGAGGAGAAGAGCAAAGGAGGAGGAGAGGATGGGGGTGGATGGGAGGATGAAGGATGACGAGGAGGAGAAGGAGAAGGAGGAGGGTAAGGAGGATGAAGAGGGGGAAGAGAAGATTGAAAGGAGGAGGAGACGAGGAGATGATGGAGGAGGAAAAGGAGGAAGAGGAGGAGGGGATGAGCCATGATGAGGGGAAGGAGGAGAAGAGGATGAAAAGGAGGCAGAGAAGAGGAGATGAGGAGGAGAGGATAAAGGAGCAGAGGAGGAAGAGGAGAGGATGAAGGATTAAGATGAGGAAGACGAAGAGGGAATGAAGGATGATGAGGGGGAGGAGGAGAGGATAAAGGAGCATAGGAGGAAGAGGAAAGGTGGAAAGATTAAGAGGAGTAGGATCAGGAGGAAAGGAGGAGGAGGAGAAGGAGAGGATGAAGAAGAGGAAGAGAGGATGAAGAGGAGGAGGAAAGATGAAAGAGGAGAGGAGGAACAGGAGGAGGGGATGAAGGAGCAGAGGAGAAAGAGGAGGACAGGAGGGGGATGGAGGAGAAGGAAGAGAAGATGAAGTTGGAGAGGAGGAGGAAGAGAAAGATGGGAAGGAGGATGATGAAAAGGAGGAGGAGGAAAGGAGGACTCCTGCTCCTCTGTGACAGCAGTTTGCAGTGAATGCTGGGAAATGAGGTCAGACTGAAGCTGTGAATAGTGACACACCTTTATTATGAACACATGAACGCATCATCACCACTTCATCATCTGCACAACAACAACAACAAATCTGAATGTGAACATTAATACAAGTATAAATCTATATCAGTCAGACAGTAAACAAACAAACAAACAGCATGTAAACAGGAAGTACCTTCAGCTCCAAAGAGACGTTTAACGACACGGGGGCCTGGGGCAAGATGGCGGAGGGAGCAGACACACTGTAAACAGCTCCGAGCAGCAAAACCTTGAAAATCGAATAATACGAACTCAGAACTCACAAACTTCTATGTGATAGATGTAAAACTTCCCGAAGTCAAGTCAACGTCGTTCAGCATCCAGTAAGTAATCCGGACACTTTGTAACAACACCAAAGACGAAGTAGTGTTACGACATGGCTAAAACTAGCGCTGGTGCTAACACTAAAGCTAGGGCTCTCCTACAACACGACTACTGTGGACCAGAGAACATGAAGACAAACGCCAACGGCACAAAAACACTTTAACATCGCCTTCCAAACCGTCGGCTCCACAGAAAAAACAAAGAGGAGAGGATAACACGACCGCAGCAGCTCATGTCGGTGATGCCTCAAATGTTGCCATCCTGGCTGCGATTGGGACACTCATATCGTTAGGATAAATGTCAGAGAACATATACGTAGAAAACGACATGTAAACATGTTGTCTTACCTTACCAGTGTGCTGCCATGTTTGTTTACCATTTAGCTCTGCTTTCCAAAGCGCGGCCGAAATATATCTCGTGAGAACGCTACTATGCGCCCTGGCTCTATCTAGGCTAACGGCTAACATGCTAACTATTATTTTTATGTCACTAGTCACTTGAAACAAATTTAGGACGATAGGAGACAGGTTGAAATAAACCGAAATTTCCCTTTCAGACTACGTTCCGAGGCCCCCATGCCTTCATTAATGGACAGAGAGTCACACCACAGTCAAAATAACCTGGGATATCTGATCCTACAAGCAAGTGAGTTTTGATAAGCAATTAATATGCTGAGGGTTTTGCTACCATAAAGGTACAGTATCTTTAGATAACACCTTATTCTTGTTCTAAAACAGTTCAGGTAATTCATCTCAGTCTTTCTTTGTTTTGTGTTATATGTTCCATTTAAAAAATGACATTTCTCTCATGTCTATTAATGCAAGAGGTCGAACAGACATAACCAAAAGGAAAAGCTTTTTTTGTTTTGTAAAGGGAAAAATGTTAATATTATTTTTCTCCAAGAAACGTATTCCAAGGTTGAAGATGTCACATTCTGGTCTAAACAATGGGGCGATGAAGTTTATTTCAGCCATGGCACTTCAAGATCAGCAGGGGTCGCCATCCTACTGAAAAACTTCAAAGGTCAAGTTATCTCTCACGTGGCAGATGTTAATGGTCACTGGCTGATGCTTATCCTGACCCTTGATGATTTCAAATTCATTTTAATCAACATTTATGGTTACAATGGGAAACAAAAACCTATTTGAACAAATTGGCCTACAATTAGATATTATTAAATCAACGCACTCAACTGAGTGACATATATATATATATACATATANCACTCAGGCTTGCACTGTGCCTCAGCCCTGCTCACACAGTACTAAAGTTGTGAAAAAGTGGTGAAAATATGGCAGTAGTCCTCTGTATCTCTCACAAATTGAGATCCCAATGATTTATAAGTATCCAGGATCTATTTCTGTAGCTTTAAGCAGGAAAAAACAAGTATATCCACAAAAGAATGTAAGCAAAGCGAAACGCAAGCAGCAGAGCGTCTGCACTGTAAGAAAGCCGGAAGCAGAAACTACTAACTTTTGCAATGACCAAAGCCTAACTGATGCTTGGAGACATTTAAATCCAGAAATAATTAAATTCTCATGGTCCAACTCCAATTATAAATCAAGAATTGACCACTGGTTAATTGCAAACCACTTGCTATGTTATGACATCAGCTCTAATATCTCTGCAGCTCCACTGACTGATCACAATGTTATCTATCTATATGTGAAGCCTAACAACAGGAGAACTTATTCAAACAAATATTGGAAGATTAACTCTAGTCTAATTAAGAATAATTATTACTGTCAAAAGATTAAATCACTAATTACGGAAATTATAAACTCGGAAGAATTAACAACACCTGTCAAAAAATGGGAATTTCTAAAATATAAAATACGCAAATTCACCATTTCATTCAGTAAAAAAATTTTAAAAAAATTTCGAGAAAAAGGAACCAGACATTATCAAACAATTAAATGTTTACTGCAATAAACTCAACCCTACTGAAGACGATAATAAGAAAATACTAAATCTTCAACCTAAATTGGATGAAATGTATATTCAAAGAGCACAAAGGGCCTTTATTAGATCTAGAGCTAAATGGATAGAGGAGGGGGAAAAAAACTCAGCATATTTTTGCGGTCTTGAAAAAAGAAGACAAAGGAAAAATAACATCAGTTCCTTGATAGTTGATAATATAGAAACCACAGATCCAAAATTAATCTCCTCAGAAATCCTTAAATTCTATAAAAAGCTTTACAGTTCTAAATTTTCTAATGAAGACTGCCATAAATTTTTAAAGGATATAGAAAAACATATTCCCAAAGTTGAAGATAGCTTCAAACAAACATGTGATAATCAAATAACAATTGCTGAACTGGACAGAGTAATTGGCCGCCTCTCTCTTAACATGGCACCTGGCTCAGACGGCCTCACAGGAGACTTTTATAGACATTTCTGGGAAGATAGAAAAGAACTGCTACATCAAGTTTTTCTGGAAATATTTGAAACTTGTATACTTCCACCCACAATGAGACATGGGCTTATCATCTCAATTCCTAAACCTGGCAAAGACCCCAGATTTATTGAAAACAGAAGGCCTATTACTCTTAGAAATTCTGATTATAAACTACTTACCTACATTTTCACCACTCGTCTTCAGACAGGGATTTCAAATATTATTGCAGAAACACAGTCTGGTTTCTTAAAAGGAAGATCAATCCACAATAATATAAGGCTGGCAATGGACATTATTGAATATAGAATCAAATTGAAGATGATGGTTGTCTTTTCTTTTTAGATTTCTATAAAGCCTTTGACTCTGTAAAGCACCCATTTATTTTCCAAGTTCTTGAACAATTAGCTTTTGGAATCAAATTTAGGAATTTAGTTGGTGGACTATATCAGAATATCAGCAGCTGTGTCATACTACCTCATGGCAATGTTAATGTAGGAATTCCACAAGGTTGTCCCATTTCACCATATTTATTTATATTAGTCACAGAAGTGTTAGCAATATACATTAAAAACTGTAATGACATTAAGAATTTAAATGTATACTGATATTGTCATCAGGCAACTAGCAGATGACACAACAATATTCCTAAAAGACAGACATCAAATTCCAATAACTATTGCAAAAATTAAAAATGTCTCCAAAGCTTCAGGGTTAACTTTGAACTTAAACAAATGTGAACTATTTGCAATTCATGATACACCACTAAAAGACATCTGCAATATCCCTATCAAGTCAGAAATCAAATACCTAGGAGTTTACCTTCCAAAAGACCAAAAACAAAGTCAATCCTTGAATGTAGAAAACAAAATAAAAGAGAGTAAAGCCAAATTA